AATCAATTTCTTTGATCAACTAACGGTGAAATAGATGATTTCCGTTCATTTGGACCTCTGCTGCACATTTCTGAAAAGTTAGAGACTTTCGTTGGCATAAATTAAAGATTAGAATGAAGTCTGCAGAAATTGATAAGGTTAGGGACCGCAGTTGCAATTTTTCCTTTCCTTTTTTTTTTTTTTGGCAACCCAGTTTCAATTTTTTCCTTTCCTTTTTTTTTTTTTGGCAATATTAATTGACAACTATTCTAAAAAATATTTTTTAAACCAATCGTCTAGATTTTGCAATTGTACAAATAGTATTATTTCTAGATAAAAAGCATCTAAGAAAGGGTTTGATACCTATTTTTATGGAAAAAATGAATTTTATAATATTAGATTGATGAAAAATATGTGAATGAAAAATAAGGTAAGGTTTTTGATTTATGTGTAATATTATTTTAATAAAAAATGTGTGGTGAAAAAGAAGAGAGAAATATATTTTGATGAAAATGAGAATCAAACGGGAGCCTTGACGTGGCTTTTTTCTAATTTTATGTAGTGCTATAAATTAGGGTGTCCATTTGCAACTTATTTACTTCAAAATTTGGATGAATTTAAAGTCAATAGAACCAAAATTTGGATAATACACACTCTTAAGGCAATGTTAAAATGCGAGACGGTTGAAATAGAGGGGGTCTCAACCTCTATTAATTAGAGGGTGTTTGACACCCATTTTTAAGAAAAAAATGAAATTTAGAATAGTAGATTGATGAAAAATGAATTGATGAAAATTTTTTGATTTACGTATAATATTATTTTAATGAAGAATGTACTGTTAAAGAGAAGAGAGAAAAAAATTCATTTTGAAAAAAATGGGAATCAAATGGGGCCTTAATAAATTTGGACTCTAATGATGATCATGTACTTGTCACTCATATTTTAAATTATAAAATATTTGTCATACTAATAGAATATTTGAAAATCTTTATTAGAAACTTGTTTGATCATTATTATTTTTAAAATATATTTTTCTCTTTTCTTTTCTATTTTAACCACCCATTTTTCAATAAAATAATATTACGCGCAATTTTTATTTTTATTTTTTAATCACACATTCTCTATCAATCTACTATTTCAAAATTTATTCTTAGGAAGTAATGAGGCTCGAACATGCTACAAATATGTTAGTTAATTCAATGTTAGGGAGAAAAATGCAATGACAAAAATTGAAGATATAATTGTCGAAATAAGCAAAAAAAATATGTAGTTAAAATGTTGTATAGATATTGTGGTTGGAATATAATTATTAATTACCTTTTCTAATCATTTTCAAGAGGTATTTGTAGAGATCAAGGAGTGTAATGGGCATCTTCATCTTTTGGGTTGCTCTTTCCCTCCCATAAATTGACATACGAGTGGTCGACCAATCATATCATTTACTTGAAGTGGGTAATTTAATATATATATATGATCGTGGGTGTTCAGGCCAGTTTATGCACGCCTCAACTAATCTCACGGGCCTCTGAATTTTACAGCCAGGTGCTCACCCTAATGGCCCTGAGGGAACTCGAACTAGTAACCAATGGGGAGTAAACTCAAGGTTTGACCACTGAATTATCCCTTAGGGTTACTTTGCCTGGATGTATATAGAGTTCAAGAAGAGAAATGGGCATCTCTATCTCTCGATGGGCTTATTCCCACCCATATGTTGATGTTGACGGGTGGTCAACACACCACCTCATTTTGCTCAAAGTATGTAGTTTGATGAAGGTGACTTCCGCCTTAGCCCCCCTGTAGCTCTTCCTTTAATAACAATTGTGAGAGGCATTAGGATATCTCATCCTACCTTGTCCCATTCAGTCATTGGTCTCATTATGCTAATAAGATTTGAGATCCTTTGGATTGGTGGCTCAGCCCATGCCATATTTGAGAGCTTTCTTGATACTTGGTGTTCATGATTAGCTTTTGCACAGCGAATCATCTTTGGTCCACAATCGAATGCTTGTTAACTTGCTCGTGTTCCTCCCTCGCAAGTCTAATGAGACCATCAGAATGCTCGAGCACCTAGCCTTGACTTATGCTTGAAGGCATCATGGATTTGGAGTCCTCACTTTTGAGGGTTCTAATTAAGGATTCTCCACATTCAAGTAAGGAATCAATTTTGCCAAAGCTCACGAATTAGCCTAAGCTCTATACCTATTGGCAAATGCAATTCATTTTGCCAATGTTGAAATTGAGTTATAGTCTTAGGCTTTCTTCACATTGCATGAGTCGGTTTAACACACGAGGGTAGGATTCATCATTTAGACTAGAGATTGACCAAGGCTCATCAGCCTCGACTTGTCTACGTACGTCTAAAAGCATGAAGGTCATCTCATAACTTAGATTAATGCTCGACCTATGAGGCCCATCAACCTCAACTAACCATATACATTTCAGAAGCATGAGATCAGACTCATCTTTTAGACACTTGCTTGTCTTGTGAGGTTCATTGGCCTTGACTTGTACATGTAGGTCTAGCCTCCGCATGGTTCCTCTGTGTATAAAAGGCTCCATTTAATATGGATGCATAACCATAATGCTCCAAAATTCGAGGCTACCATTTATGTTAGGCTTTTGGACTTATTATAGTATGTGGTTTGATGTTTTAGCACAATCATTTGGGCATCTTTTATGCACAGTTCCCATGTTTTTATGTTTCTCTTAGACCATGGTTCAATGTTACAACATCTGTTTGGACCTCTTTTTTTCTACAAACCTTGACTAAGGGCATGGATGCGACAAATCCATGCTCTGATTGACGCTTAGATGTGGCCTTGGTTAGGGCATATGCTAACTAGGAAGGGATGGTTGTTGCCTTGGGAGGAGGCTTTCGTGTGACCTTGGTCTCTACTAAGAAAGCTTAGGTACTAGCTTGGATGATGTTTAGGCATGACCTTTGTATGAGGCTTAGCCATGACTCTAGCCTATACCGAGGCAATGCTTCAACAATTTTGATTGATGTTTAAGATGCAAATTTGACTTTTTCTTCATACATCGATCTTCAGGTTAAAGTGACTAGAACTCCAGACGGAGCAATAACCCAACATAATGATGATGTTTGACCAAATGATTAATTAGAAATGATGTACTTAATCACATTAATAAGTAGAAGGGTAAATTGTAATTTTTGTCCCCAATCCTTCTCAAAAGTTACAGTTTCGTCCTTATATTTGTTTCTAGTAGCAAACTTTGGGGATGTATGCTGTCAAACATCAAATAGGGATGAAATGTGCAAGTTTTGGAAATGGTCGGGGACGAACCTGCAACTTTCGTTACTGTCCCATTATAAAATGACGTCTCCTCTCCCAACGGATAATTATACAACGGCTACTTCTTCACATCGATCATTTTACTTTTTCTTCTCCTTTCTCAAGGGAATTCTTCGCTAAAGCGAAATCTTTTCATCGCTTAAACAATCTTCTTGATTAACCCATCTGCTTCTCGGTGGGATTCACGGGGTTCTTCAAGAAAAAAGAGAAGGGTTCGAATGGTTAATAAAGAAAAGGGATCAAAATGTTGAGTACCAGCTGTTCTGATCATCACAAGAATCATTACAATTCTACGTCAAGGGGGTTCTCGACGCCGCCTCCGGCATGGAGGACAAGCTGGTGTTCGCCGCCGTTGCCCGTGTCAGAGAAGAAGCCGAGGAGGTCGCCTCCGGCGAAAGGTGATCTCTTCCATGTGATTCACAAGGTCCCTTCTGGGGACTCGCCCTATGTCAAAGCGAAGCATGTTCAGGTGAGTACTGATTAACAGCAATTTCCTGTTCCAAATTCTAATTCAGTACACGAAGATTTTTAATTTTCCTGAAACTTTGATGAGTGGTTGCGACGATCGATTTCTTTCTGATTTATCATTGGTTAGGTTCTTGAATCTTGACATTTAGGGATGTTTATATTTTTCTGAATGTTTTCTTTTGATATTTTGCTTCGTTTCTTTGGGTACAGAATTTTAGTTTCATTTTACGAACTTGATATATTTTCTTGAAAGTAACTAATTTGATCCTATTGTGTTTTTTTCAACTAACCATATACATTTCAGAAGCATGAGATCAAACTCATCTTTTAGACACTTGCTTGTCTTGTGAGGTTCATTGGCCTTGACTTGTACATGTAGGTCTAGCCTCCGCATGGTTCCTCTGTGTATAAAAGGCTCCATTTAATATGGATGCATAACCATAATGCTCCAAAATTCGAGGCTACCATTTATGTTAGGCTTTTGGACTTATTATAGTATGTGGTTTGATGTTTTAGCACAATCATTTGGGCATCTTTTATGCACAGTTCCCATGTTTTTATGTTTCTCTTAGACCATGGTTCAATGTTACAACATCTGTTTGGACCTCTTTTTTTCTACAAACCTTGACTAAGGGCATGGATGCGACAAATCCATGCTCTGATTGACGCTTAGATGTGGCCTTGGTTAGGGCATATGCTAACTAGGAAGGGATGGTTGTTGCCTTGGGAGGAGGCTTTCGTGTGACCTTGGTCTCTACTAAGAAAGCTTAGGTACTAGCTTGGATGATGTTTAGGCATGACCTTTGTATGAGGCTTAGCCATGACTCTAGCCTATACCGAGGCAATGCTTCAACAATTTTGATTGATGTTTAAGATGCAAATTTGACTTTTTCTTCATACATCGATCTTCAGGTTAAAGTGACTAGAACTCCAGACGGAGCAATAACCCAACATAATGATGATGTTTGACCAAATGATTAATTAGAAATGATGTACTTAATCACATTAATAAGTAGAAGGGTAAATTGTAATTTTTGTCCCCAATCCTTCTCAAAAGTTACAGTTTCGTCCTTATATTTGTTTCTAGTAGCAAACTTTGGGGATGTATGCTGTCAAACATCAAATAGGGATGAAATGTGCAAGTTTTGGAAATGGTCGGGGACGAACCTGCAACTTTCGTTACTGTCCCATTATAAAATGACGTCTCCTCTCCCAACGGATAATTATACAACGGCTACTTCTTCACATCGATCATTTTACTTTTTCTTCTCCTTTCTCAAGGGAATTCTTCGCTAAAGCGAAATCTTTTCATCGCTTAAACAATCTTCTTGATTAACCCATCTGCTTCTCGGTGGGATTCACGGGGTTCTTCAAGAAAAAAGAGAAGGGTTCGAATGGTTAATAAAGAAAAGGGATCAAAATGTTGAGTACCAGCTGTTCTGATCATCACAAGAATCATTACAATTCTACGTCAAGGGGGTTCTCGACGCCGCCTCCGGCATGGAGGACAAGCTGGTGTTCGCCGCCGTTGCCCGTGTCAGAGAAGAAGCCGAGGAGGTCGCCTCCGGCGAAAGGTGATCTCTTCCATGTGATTCACAAGGTCCCTTCTGGGGACTCGCCCTATGTCAAAGCGAAGCATGTTCAGGTGAGTACTGATTAACAGCAATTTCCTGTTCCAAATTCTAATTCAGTACACGAAGATTTTTAATTTTCCTGAAACTTTGATGAGTGGTTGCGACGATCGATTTCTTTCTGATTTATCATTGGTTAGGTTCTTGAATCTTGACATTTAGGGATGTTTATATTTTTCTGAATGTTTTCTTTTGATATTTTGCTTCGTTTCTTTGGGTACAGAATTTTAGTTTCATTTTACGAACTTGATATATTTTCTTGAAAGTAACTAATTTGATCCTATTGTGTTTTTTTACATAAAAAACTCATTTCTATAAACTGTTGACGAGTTAAGAAATAAAAAGAAGTCAAAATCCTGCTCATTGTTCTATCTATTACCATATAATCAACAAACCTGCACCGAGTATATTCATAGTTCTTACTGTTAACTTTTGATATAGCAGCTATTTTCAATTAATTTTGCTAAAAACACGCCAAAAAAATGTTAAAGACATTTTATCAGAGTGTTATGAACTAAATAATACCATGTGACTTCAAATGAAAATAAGGAAAAAAGTGGCTTATAGGCAAGAAAAATTAATTCCTCATAATTGAATTATTCTTGGAGCGATCAACAATTCTTGACTCTTATTTGTCTGATTAATTCGTTTGGAGAGTAGTTGATAGAGAAGGATCCAAGCAAGGCCATTTCCCTGTTTTGGGCAGCAATAAATTCCGGTGATCGAGTTGATAGTGCCCTTAAAGACATGGCAGTTGTTATGAAGCAATTGGACCGGTCTGATGAGGCAATTGAGGCCATAAAGTCATTCCGTCATCTTTGCCCCCCCGAGTCTCAGGAATCTCTTGACAATATACTCGTTGAACTCTATAAGGTGAAGTTCAATCATCTGAGTTCTAGCTCGTGCCTTTTGCTCTTGAATTCTTTTATACCTTGGCTAATTTATGGTTGGAGATGAATAAATACCTTTACAAATGCATTTTGTTAGTCAATGAATTCATTTTATACTTTGCAAGTACAATCATTTTGACTTTAAAAGGTGGAGTACCACTATCTGAATTCTAAAATGTGTTTCCTCTTGAATTTTTTTAACACATTGGCTAATTACTGTTAGAGGTTAACACCTTCACAAATGCTTTTATTAGTGAATGCAATTCATTTGATACTTTCTAAGGCACATGTCTATATAGGTGCTAGATTCACTCATTTCATGCTAGACCATGTGAAGCCTAATCTTACTTTACGCTCCCTTTACCTCTCAGTGAGAGCGAACCACTATAAATCAATTTGTTTGCTCGTGTTTGTGTTTATGGTCGCTCTCATAATTGGGGTTTGGGCTAATTTCCTAACATTTTGCTAGCATGACAATGGCATATTGGGATATGAAAACGATTAAGTTTCACGTTTCACCTGAAATGTTCATGTTTATGCAGCGATCTGGAAGGATTGAGGAAGAGATTGAAATCCTTAAACAAAAACTGAAGCAGTTGGAAGAAGGGATTGCTTTTGGTGGGAAGAGGACAAAGTTAGCTAGATCTCAAGGGAAGAAGATTCAAATTACCATTGAAAAAGAATATTCAAGGTAGTTGTTTGCATTTATTTATCCTCAGTTTATAAATGAATATTATGATTTCTCTTTAGATATCTCATTTTTTTCCTGTCGAAATACCCTGCAGATTGTTAGGGAATTTGGCCTGGGCATACATGCAGCAGGGAGATTTCAAATCCGCTGAAGAGAATTATAGGTATCTATCTTGAATCCTAGTGACATGTTTTAGTAGGGAGAATTGGATAGTTGAACAACATTAAGGAAGAAAAATAATTTAAAATCTTGTTTTTATGATGTCAGGTCCTATTTATTCTATGTAGCAAACATGAACTCAACTTTGTAATAACATACTTATGGACTCATTCTTTCAATATGAAGGCTCATAGGTGAAATTATTTCATGCAGAAAAGGACTCTCTTTTGAATCAGATAAGAATAAGCAGTGCAATTTGGCTGTATGCTTGATGCACATGAACAAGCTGACAGAAGCCAAATTTCTGCTTCAAACTGTAAGAGTTTCATCTGAAAATGAGCATTTGGATGAATCGTATGCCAAATCCTTAGAGCGTGCCACTGAAATGCTCTCTGAGTTGGAGTCTCAGCATGTTCTTAAGCCTAAGGAACGTGGAAAAGATTTTGATTATAGAAGAAAACATCATCAGTTTGTTATGGGACAAGGGGACACAGATTCTGCACGTAAAATGGCACACTACTCACCATTTGGCGCTGGAAGAATTCCTAAAGTTCCATTCACGCAGCCAAGATGTTCATGGTCATTCAATGGTGGAGATCAGAGAAGAGGATGGTCGGTAGAGGATGCAGATTCTGCACGCAAAATGGTCGGTGGAGATCAAAGAAGAGGATGGTCGGTTGGGGATGAAGAAGGAGGTCTTTGTCGAAAATTGTCCTTTGAGCAATCTACTAACGGCGAAAATAAGCAGTTTATAGCAAACCAGAATCTTGAATCCAATATTCCAGAAGCAATACCCCAAATTTTAGGAAACCATTCTGCATCTGTCGATGGAGACTGGATAAAGAGGCCACCGAGTAATCTTTCTAGAGTTGACAGTGAAGAAGAATGGAAAATTGTCGACTTTCTGGCATATGATGGCCAGGAAAAATCTTCTATGGAGGAATACAATTTGCCCTTGGAATTAGACTTTTCTGGTGATTGTACAAACTCTAGAGAAACTTTTGAAGGAGATCATGGTCTGAGTTCCAATTTTACGAATGCATGTAGTTTGGAATCTAAAGCAGCTAAAGATGATTCAGAAAACCTAAAATCAGCTGAACAACTGCAGAAAGATTGGAAAATAACGGATGAATTTTTAAATTGTGAAAGTAAAAATAAGAGTTGGGCTGATATGGTTGAAGAGGATGAGGAAGACCTGCAAATTTGGAGTAGTAGTTTCCCGGGAAAAGATTGGGAGACTGATAAAGAGTTTAGCAATGAGAATGTGGACACCAATATAATTCTGGAGAGTCCTACATTACTGAATCAGTATGAGGATTTAAGCCAAAAGACTGACACACTAGATATGAAATCTGGATACCATACTCAACCTGAGAATGCTACTTCATTAAAGAACCAATCCGTGAAGCGTTCTTTGTGTTTTTATCAGCATCAGAAGCAAGGCAGAGCTGAAAATCCTACTAATCGTGCAAATTTAATGCGGAAAAAAAGATTACAGGTTTTTCAGGATATAACGCCCGATCCTGGAAGTCCAAGATGCTGATGGCATGCACTATTTTTGTTTGAAAGATTTGTTATTGATACATTACAGCTTGATTTTTTGCATTCATTTTTCTAGTCAATCTTGGAACCCTGGAACCCGGTGCTGTAAATCTTTTCTAGAACCGTATACAAGTTTCATTTTGGTTTGTGATTTAGCTTTTGTAATAACCATGATTGATCGTTTTTCTTGATGCTACTTGTTCATTCATTTCTTCATTCTTCTCGCTCCAATTAAGTGAACTTTTTACGTATTCTTCTTGTTGGATTGGATAATTTGTGGGGAAATCCTACTTTGACATTCAATTTAGACATCTTGGTTGACATTCCACAATGTGTAAAAAATCTGGCCATTAATGGCCAGACTGTCCGTCATATCATGAAATGTGAACAAAATTGTCAATGTTATATTAATCAAGAAAAATTGACTAATGACAAATTTATTAAGGCTCCATTTGGTAGTGATTTTTCACCCAAAAAAATAATCTTTTGACTATTATTTCACTATTTCAATCATCATTTTTGACTTTTCCACTCACATGTGACCCCTACTTTTCCCCTAACGGCTAAAAAAACCAATCACTAAAATCACTATCAAATGGGCCCTAATTCTTGTTTTCCTACCGTTCTTTAAAATCTTGACAATGAATCATTTCATAATAGGTGATGGAAAGGTGAATTGACAATTAAATAAGTACGATAATCAATCATACATTGCAAGTGATCTTTTAAGTTTCAAGGCCTTGTTTGAGTCCCATTCTTTCTAAAAATTCATTTTTTTCAAAACTCATTTTTAACCATACATTCTCCAATAAAATAATGTTAACGCAAATTTAAAACTTTTTCTTAATTTTTAACCACATATTCTCTATTAATTTACTATTTCAAAATACATTCTTTTTCTAAAATGGGGCTTAAACAAGGGCTAGGTACGTGACCTCCTATAATCAATTGTGGGAGTCATTGAGCTTCAACTTTCTCTATTATATCGTAGAATCTTTCTACTGAATAATATTAAAGCAAATTAAATTTTTTTCTTAATTTTTAACCACATATACTCTATTAATTTACTATTCCAAAATACATTCTTTTTCTAAAATGGGGCTTAAACAAGGGCTAGGTATGTGACCTCCTATAATCAATTGTGGGAGTCATTGAGCTTCAATTTTCTCTATTATCTCGTAGAATCTTTCTACTAGTAAAGCATGGGGCTAATCAAGCTACCATGGATAGGTCACGGTTCCGAAGCCCGCTCTTTCACATATGACGTTCAGTTCCTGTTTGTTTTCTCATTTTTTCTTCATTAAAATAAAAAATATGACCGTTATCCATCATATCAAGCCACTAAACTAGAATTTATATATCTTGTGTGGGGCCCATAACGATCATATTTTTCATTCTCATTTTTACGTTAACGTGTACCAAACGAGGTTTTAGTCTTCAATTTTGGTGTTTCGCCTTGGACTATCAAGAATTTTGCTAAATAAATTTGAGATTTAAAAAATTTCAATATACAATCTTATCGCTTTTCAAGCATAACCGAACACTCCAACAGCAACAATAATTTAAATGAGTGGGCGAATTCTTAGCTATATGAAATTTCCAACAAAATCTTAATAGAAGATTCCCAAACAAATCAAATGTTGGCTGTGTTGCAAATTGCAATTAATCAACTCTAAGCAGGGACCACAAGGCCTACGCCCGAGTCAACAACTATAACTCGCCCGAGTTTCACCCACCCACTGAGTAGGCATAAAGAGTTTCGAATTTTATTTGAAACCTCCGCTCATTCTATTCCTGTCCTTTCGCACTGATTTTCCGCCAACTCACTATTCAAATTATTAGCCAATATCACATTAAATATAGGGAATTACACCATTAGTCCTCGACCTATTATTCTAATAACAGGTTGCGTCCTTAACATTTATAAAGGCTAGCCTGATCCTCAAAATTTTATCATAATTGTCCAGTTAGTCATAAATTACACAAACTGTCAAAATCCCATCATATAACAAACCACTCGCATAGCCATACCACTAACTTATATTTATATAATATAATAGAAAAGAATTATCTTCTTTCTCGAATTTTTAGCTATTTTTGGTTGCAACTTCAATATTGTCATTGATGCTTATAAGATCCTCTCTCTTGCATTTTGGTGATTTTAAAGACAAGGAAATAGTCGCTTTCTAACTTAATTGAAGGAAAAAAAATTAATGAACTAAATGTTTAATTGAATTGCCTCTAATGGGACAAGCAATTTAATGTGTCATTCATATAAAAAAATCTTAAACTCAATAAGTACATGAAAATATGCATTAATTTCAAATGGGACGAGGGAGGAGGCGAGCAAATTGAGCTATTTCAACCAAATAATCTAATATGTTGAACCAAGTTTAAAGACAAGGAAATAGTCGCTTTCTAACTTAATTGAAGGAAAAAAAATTAATGAACTAAATGTTTAATTGAATTGCCTCTAATGGGACAAGCAATTTAATGTGTCATTCATATAAAAAAATCTTAAACTCAATAAGTACATGAAAATATGCATTAATTTCAAATGGGACGAGGGAGGAGGCGAGCAAATTGAGCTATTTCAACCAAATAATCTAATATGTTGAACCAAGGGATCGAGAGGGAATGCTAACAAATACGATGTATGAACTTAAATTTTGCTTCTCAACTTGAATTAGTACCTACAAATTGGAGATGAGATATATTTCAAAGGGTTAATAATGATAATGCAATTTGAAATTTTTAAAAGTTTAAGGTGATTTTGTTATCGAGTCAAAAGGTCAAGGATCAATGCTACTATCTTTCCTACACACACAAAAAAAATCTATTTTATTCATTCCACGATACTATTGGCTGCCGAACAAATATATGCTTCTGTGCGGTCTGCAGTCCACTTCTCGGCTTTTTTACTCACTCTCTCTCATTAATTACAACTTCACTGCTGCTTTATCTCTCTTAGTTCACTTTAGCTCTCTTTTGCGTGCCACATTTCGGGAAAAATGAATGGTCACGCCAGATTTTCATGTACAGTTGTACAATATGTATGTATAGTCTGTATAGCTTGCTTTCTTTAAACCCTATAACAAAAAAAGTCCAAGTGTGGTTCAACTGTCTTGCTTTCTTGCTGGGCTCACTCTACTCCACCAGATCTACAAACTTTTGAGGTAAGGAATGCTCAAAATAAAGTAGATTTTTTTTTTTTTGGATATATCTGTAATGTGGATTAAGGCTAAAGAGCTTGATTTTGTGGTAGGGAAGATTAGTTCTTGAAATGTCATGTTTACGGTTCCTTTTTTTTTTTTTTTCCTGTGCTTAATTTGCTGAATTTGGATGCTGTGGGTAGAGACTTTTGAACTGGGGCTGGAAAATTGACAATTCTGGAGCAAGGTAATAATTTTATTATTTGGCAAGTTGGAAATAAGTAATTTATAATTTCAACTATTAATGTTTTGAAACAAGGTAACTTCTTTTGTTTTAAAAAAAAAAAAAAATGTAAGTTGTCTAAACACGTGGATTTAAAAATTTTAAGCTTAGCTACACATGATCCTTAATTGCCACTCTTATGTTGCATGGCATGCTTCTGACTTCAGGGGTTGTGTTTATGTCTTCTCCGGCATGATAAAATGTTGGGGGTTAAATATGTTCTTAAAATGTGCAGAGGATATGATAGTGGAATTAAAAACTATATAAGGTAGTGGATTATATACTGTTTGGGATTGTATGTGCTGTTTTTATTGGAAAAGTGAGATTTCAAAATTGGATATTTGTAGCACAAGTAAATGTTGACATGCTGCATCTCTTATGTATATAGACTTGAAAACTGAGCTGAATATTGGTGATCTCAAGCCCATTTTGAATTCTAGACTTCTAGCCTACTGGAGCTTGGCTGTGTTGAACCAAAATGGAGGTTCCAATGGTGCAATCTTCTGGAGATTCAATGGAAATGCTCCAGAATACATTACAGAATCACTCTTCGGCTGAAGATTCTGTGGATAAGATACATAGTCAAGAGTTATCAAAAGAACCTTCCACTGAGAGTGGGAAGAAAGTGTCAAGGGGTTCAAGACTGAATTCCAAAACAACATCAAAGGGTGCTTCTAATATTGGTGTGGTTGCAAAAAAGAAAATAGATACTAAGAGTGGTACCTATACAAATTCGAGTGGTACCAAATCAACTTTAACCAAACCAACTATGAGCAGTGCCTTGCACAATTCGGGATCGGCTCCAGTGACTAGAAGGATCAGCACTGGAGGTTTACCTGAAAAGCAGACTATTTCACTTACAAAACGTCCGGGCAGTGGGGTTAATTCTGCTGTGGGTAAGAAGACGAGTTCTTTAGCATCAGAACCTCTAAGAAAATCTCTTCCGGAAATGCGGAGGAGCTCAATGCCTTCTCTTGGTGCTAATCCTTCAAACAGGACGAGCATTCCAAAAACACAAAGGTCGTTTCCTGCTTCACCTTCGCCTGTTTCTAAAACACTTACAACATCAACCAATTCTGATGCTAGCAAACAAGAATTTAATCGAAGGACTTCATTGAGATCCTCTCCTTCTTCGGTCTCTTCGAAAAGGATTGCTTCTTCATCAATGGATAGCACTGGCAGCAGCAGTTCAGTTAGAAAGTCTGTTTCAAAGGTTTCTTCCCCTTCCAATCGAGTCTCCAGTGTGACCAAGGCTGGGGTTTTGTCAACATCTGGCCGTAAGAAAGTGGGAACTCCTGAAAATCGTGATTCGCATCTCATTGTGCTTCCTCAAGTGGAGGTCAGAGCTGGTGATGACATGGTATGAATTTCAGCCAATAAGCTCAGATGAGTTCATTAATATTTCTTGATATGAACTCCTGTCGCATTTATCAAAGTTGTCAGATATTTTATTTTCCATATTAATCTGAAATTTATGTTTTTCATGATTAAAATGAAATACCTATAATCCATGTTTCTTTGAGGTGTTGCTCCACTTCATATATTTGTCATGTTGGACTGTATTTAAGGCCTAATGATGAAATTGGGGTTGCACAAAGACGCTATCTATTTTTAGAGCTGCCCCCGGGCATGATTATTTTTGTTGATATTGATTCCTCTGATAATCATATATATCATTTGCTATTATACATTAAGGTTTAGGAATATTTAGTACACTCTTACTCTGCGACCCTTGCGACTCTGTCATATTGTAGTAATTTATGAATCCCTTCTTCAATTTTCTACAAGAGGTTGGATCTTCGGGGTCACAAGATACGCAGCCTGAACAGTGGTGGATTGAACTTGTCAACAAATCTAGAGGTACCTTGATCTTTCTATGGTGCTATATTTCTAATTGAATGGATTTCACTTTTCTCACTTCCACTAATTATTATTTACTAACGCGATACAAATTGATATCATTGAATACTTTATTTTTCCATTTTATAGATATAGTGTTAAGTGTTTGAAGTCTTTGTAAATAACTTTTTGTACACGGGGCATTCGTTTCTCAATGCTGGATAGCTGGTGAGAGTATCCTGCAACACTAAGACTGCATTCTTCCTCTTTCTTACACATAAAAATATGATGGTGGGCATGCCCACGGCAAGGTGCCAAGCTTACAATTTCTTTGGTAAAATGAACATGTATGCTGAGGAGCAAAATTAATCGCTTATTTGTAATTATGTAGTTCCATAGGGTTTTGATATCATTTCAGTGATAAATTGCACAAAAAAATGAGGGGAGCAGATTCTAGGTCTCTGATATCTTTTCTGTCTTTTTTGAACTAGATATACAGTATTATACATGACTTCCATAAATGCAAAGATGTGTACTAATTTTCTTTGAATCATGACTTAAATTTGGAAACGAGATTTTCTCTTTAAATGGATTCTGTATCTGTTAACACACCACACGTTACTTACCATTCTCCACACTAGAAATTATAGTGTCTGGATTACCCTTATTGGCATCAAGTTATTCAGCAACACTGTGGACTGTGGTATTACCGGATAGAGAAAATTCACATGATTTCTTTAAAACTGACTATCCATTTTTTGTAGTTTGTTTATCTCAGAGACAATCTCCTGTCTACACTGGATGGCATTGAAGTTTTAAATCGGGTGAAGGTTGTACAATTACCACATTCTACATTCTTAAAAGAACATGGCCAGGATTCTATTGTTTATCCAAATCTGCTAATGACTATCTTGTGTCTACATTGCTTTCAGGTTCTTGATTTGAGCTTCAACAACTTTAAAGGACCTGGTTTTGAACCACTCGAGAATTGCAAAGCACTACAGGTGATTATTTTACTATACTGTGTTCTCAGAAGAATAGGATTCATAGACGGCTTTAATCTAGTATGTCATGAGATTTTATAATGACTCTTTTATTTGTAGCAACTCTATCTTGCTGGAAACCAAATCACATCACTGACGAGCCTTCCCGAGCTTCCAAACTTGGAGGTGAAACTCTGTGAAATGTTTGAACTTTTTCTTTTCTCAAGTAGTCGATATTATCATATTGCGAACCCATTTGGGTCTCGTACTAATTCTTTTGGTTTATTGTTATTTGTTACAGTTTCTCTCTGTTGCCCAGAATAAGTTAAAGTCCCTTTCAATGTCGAGTCAACCTCGTTTACAGGTTTTTTTTTTGCTGACCTAATGCTCATGATTTAATATTTTCTGCAAAAATTCATTTCCACTTTTTACAGGTATTAGCTGCTAGCAAGAATAAAATATCAACATTGAAAGGCTTCCCATATCTACCAGCGCTTGAGGTTTGCTGAACAAATCTGAATGATTATTTTCATTTTTAGCAACAAGGCATACTTTATGATCTGCGCATTTGGATTTTGTAATAATTTGATGTTGTACAGGCTTTCGGATTAGCGTAGAGATTCTTGAATCTACTTAATTTGTGAACTTTCTGGAAATTATGTATATCTGTAACTAAAAATAAAAAAATACAATCAAGGGAGTTGGAATAAAGTAGTTGTTACATAGGATCTGTACTCCTTGTTTAAGTTTTTCCTTGTGGAGATTTTCGCTCCCTTGTTTTAGTTTCTTCTATAAATTACTAAGAGGCGCTGTATAATTTATTTAATCATTCTTAATTGTGTCAAAATGTTGTTAAACGTTTGCTTATGATTTCTGATCGTATTGATGTACTGATTTTACCATGAGGGCGTGCAGAGTTTACGCATGGAGGAGAATCCCATTCTTAAGATGCCTCATCTAGAAGCTGCTTCCATCTTGCTGGTTGGCCCAACTTTAAAAAAATTCAATGACAAGGGTAATTGTGATAGTTTCACTTAATTCTTTACTACTTTCTTCATCAAAATCTTAGTCTGTCTTTTCAGTCTCCTCTTTTCTCATTTGGATACTTCACCTTACAGTTTCCTCAAAATTTCTTCCTCATTCCCACATTGCTTATGTCATTTGAGATCTAATTCCATTTCTAGGTTCAAAATGTCAACTCTCCCAATATACTTCCTTATTTACTTTCTAACATAAATTATATCCTTTTCTGTATTTCATTTATGAAAATATTTTTTGTAGATCTTTCGCGTGAGGAGATAGCAGCTGCCAAGCGGTATCCCGCTCATACTGCCTTGTGCATTCGTGGTGGTTGGGATCTTTGCCGTCCTGACCAGGCCATAGGTGAGTGTTCTGACAATGTACTTGTTTTGGTGGCCGATGTATTTATATTGTTCTGTCTTACCTTTGTACATATTTGTCAATCGTTGTCTCATTACATTTTGATAGAGGTGGTCTACATATATGGATCTTTTATTTACTATAAACATACTGGAGGCAATGAGGAATGCATTTTGAGTGGATGTAACAGAATGATGGATTTGGGGTTTTGAATGTAAAGATTGTGCAAGGAGCTTTAAGACTAACAATATGTATTCTACACGGGAAAAATGGTGTCTTTGTGTGAAGTATGAGAGAGGGTATATTGTTAGTAAATTGCAGTTGTATATAGTGTTTCAGACTCCTATCACATGCCGAGAGTCTATGTCCATTTCTGAAGGGTCATACATGTATGTTGTTTTGAGGTTGGACATGTGTATGAATCCTGAGAAATGAAATTGAGTTCTTCGACCATTATGGTCCAGATTAAAGATAATATATCTTATGAATCTTTGAGGAGCACAATGTGCATTACTAGACTGGTTTTGGGTGCTAATAAATGTAAAACTATCACACTGAGTATGTTGGGACTGGGGCAATCTTTTACAACTCGAACCATGGGGCATGAGGTTGCATTTCTTGCTGTTACAGGATGTACAGATTTTCCAAATTAAATTGAAAAGATGATGTTTTCTCTTCTTTCTTTATATCTAAACACACCTTTTTCAACAGATTCAACATTTAAGTTTCTGCTGGAACAATGGAGAGAACAACTTCCTCCTGGATACCTGCTTAAAGAAGCATTCACTGACCAACCATTTGAGGGAGATGCTTGTTTTTGCCACTTTGAGTTCCTCAGAGACAATACTGAGAGTAGCGTTCCTGAATTAAACTTGAAATACCAGTGGTTTATAGGAGAGACGACTCCATCAAATTTTACAGCAATACCTGGTGCAAGTGCAGAGGTTTGTTATTGGTTTCCAGCTGTTTCATAGTTGAACTTCAGAGTGTTATCTGATTTGTCATTCAAAGGTATAATAATTGCTTTGGCTCCATTTTAGATCTACTTTCCGAAGCATGATGACATTGGAAGAATTTTGAAAGTGGAATGCACACCTGTGCTTGGAGAGACTGAATATCCTACAATATTTGCCATATCTTCACCGGTTTCTCCAGGTATTATTTCTCACATAATTGAGGAAGTAAATCTGATCACTGAACATATTTCTTATATAAGTTGAAATTTACTAAACCACGCTGTATGCATTACCAGAATGTTATTGTAATGATGGAGGCATCTTCTTGCTCGTGTCCCTGAAGTTGACGTTTGTATAATCATGATAAGCTAGTATGAAAAGTGAACTGGTTGAATGACATAGCAATGAGCTAGTATGCTCTTGGTGGCCAATCTTATCTGGAGCAAGTTTCATCCTTTTATTGTTTTCTTTTTCAAATCTAGTAATTGACTTTGCTGTTTTCTTTTTGATCTTAACCAGTTCATTTTCCTTAATTTATTACAATAGTAATTATAGTTTTTGTTTAGTACCTAAGGAAGCAAAACTTTACATAATTTGGAAGCGTTTCATGTGGTGATTGTCCATTGTTTTATGCCAATTGACTAAGTAGTCAAGTGTTTCTTTGTGAAGGCACTCGAATCCCCAAGGTCTTAAAGATCGATATGCATGGGGAGCTGGTGCAGGGAAACACAATCAAAGGCTATGTGGAGGTTGCATGGTGTGGGGGGAATCCAGGGAAAGGTGTTGCAAGGTACGTTTATCTTTGATAATTCTATGGAGCACTTTGATTTTAATTATTCTTTTCTCCCATATGCACTTCTTATCCTCTTGGACTGAGCAAATTGATTTTTATTGCTTTAGTTGGCTAAGGAAAAGATGGAATAGCAGCTCTGTGGTAATTGCTGGTGCAGAAGATGAGGAATATCGGTTGACTCTAGATGATGTTGACTCATGTTTGGTCTATATGTACACCCCTGTAACTGAAGAAGGTGCCAAAGGGGAACCTCAATATTCAATCACTGATTATGTAAAAGCAGGTGTGAAGTTCGATAAAACTCTACCTTGCATCTTTCTAAGTTAAAACCTTTTTATCAGTTACGTGATGCCACATGACAAAGCAGCTGTGGGTTGTGAAAATTGTGTCGTGCATATTGCTTGACCAAATCATGTTTGGCGAGTTATGAGTTATCGCATTAGACTAGTAATTTGTTCATTACTGCTGGACCTGAAGCACAGGCAGGACTTTGAACCAAGAAGAAGGTACAATATATGTGTATCAACTTGAAAGTACTATCTAGACACACCCAGAACATAACACACAGATTGGTTACTTTATTTTCTTAGGTCCTCAATGCTCTCTTTTGCACTATGGAATCGTAAAGATAAACATCCTTTCATTTTATGTGAAGTCGTAGAATGTTTTAGCTGTGCCATAAGAAATCATGTTGTAATTTCAGTTTTACACTTATGTTGAATATGTTCCAATGACTGTTGAATGCAGATGTAGAGAAGTATGAAGCTGGAGGCAAGGATAATGTTTGTACTTTTTGATGGATGTAATGTCAAAGCCTGTATTGAAGTGTTCAAGCATCGATGATATTTTATGTGTCCGACATGAACCTAATTTTTGTAGTTGTATTCAAGTGTCTTAGTTTCTGCATGCTCAAAATTACCTGTTCTTGCTGTCTACTAGTGATTAGATCTCTATGTTGCTTTATGCAACTTGTTCCAGATGTTATGTGTGTCAGTTTGGATGGTACCTGCCTTTAATTTTCTTCTTCTTTTGACCTGGATTGGTTTCATTCTGAAAAATTGACTGCGAAAAGTGATTCATTATTACTTTTTATGATTCATGTGCAGCTCCTCCTTCAGTGGACAATGTACAAATTACCGGAGATGCTGTCGAAGGAAGTATCATTAGAGGAGTAGGGGACTATTTTGGAGGAAAAGAAGGCCCCAGCAAGTTTGAGTGGTGTCGTGAGGGCAACTTGTTCCAGATGTTATGTGTGTCAGTTTGGATGATACCTGCCTTTAATTTTCTTCTTCTTTTGACCTGGATTGGTTTCATTCTGAAAAATTGACTGCGAAAAGTGATTCATTATTACTTTTTATGATTCATGTGCAGCTCCTCCTTCAGTGGACAATGTACAAATTACCGGAGATACTGTCGAAGGAAGTATCATTAGAGGAGTAGGGGACTATTTTGGAGGAAAAGAAGGCCCCAGCAAGTTTGAGTGGTGTCGTGAGGATAAGGACACTGGGTTAGCATTTATCTCTTTGTTGTAATGTTATTATTTTATTCTTAAAGTGACTCCATCAACTGGTCTAATCATTTGCTGCTATCTGCTTTTAACCTGTTGTATTGTTGGGTAACCAGCCCCGCTAGTGTTAATCTAAACTGCAATGGAGCTTTACTTGTTCTCAATTTTCGATTCGCTCTCAATTTCCCTTGATATGGCTGGGATTTAGCTGTGGAGGCAACATGTTTATTTCTTTATGGCCTAGTTACATGGTTCGCAGTATTTCATTACAACATGATGTGATACCAGCCTTAACCCCAAGGCTTATGCATTCGGCTTCCAGGCCCTCGTGCGTGTGCATTAGTATTGGCCCATTCTTGTCCAAAGGGAGCATACTATCGAATCTGTGATTTTTTTTGGCATGATCATAAGCTCTCATTACCTTAATGTTCCTGCCGACTGAATCATCTAAGTTTTGTTCTACTTGTGTCTTCCTTTTTCAGAGAATTTTCTTTGGTGTTAACTGGTACAAATGAGTATAATGTAACTAAAGATGATATTGGACGACGATTGACTTTTGTTTATATACCCATGAACTTTGAAGGTTAGCTCATTCTTCATAGTATTGACTAGTCTAACAATATTTCTCATTTAGCATTCCCTGGTATTTAAGCTGATATTAACTCAACGTTTTTTCACTATTTTTCAGGACAGGAAGGAAAGTCTATGACAATAATGTCTCAGATAGTTAAGCCAGGTCCTTTAGTAGCTTATTTTTAATGCTTTGTGCTATAATAATATGATATTACACTTGGTTGCCATTATTTAACTGTGCTGCCCCCCTTTCATCTTTTCTCTTTATTTGAGTTACAGCTCCCCCGAAAGTAACAAATGTGAAAATAATTGGTGAATTAAAGGAAGGAAGTAAGGTTACTGTGACTGGTATTGTCACTGGAGGAACTGAAGCATCCAGCAGAGTTCAGTGGTTTAAAACAAGTTCTTCTACCTTTGAGGTTGAAAAGAATCTTGAAGTGTTAAGTGCGTCAAAAATTGCTAAAGTAATAGAAGCTCGACCTTTATCATCTAGTTTTATATTAATCTCTGTGATGCATGATCTCAGTTGAGCTTGTGGCTTCTCTTAGGCATTTCGTATACCTTTAGGAGCTGTTGGCTATTACATTGTTGCAAAATTTATCCCAATGACTCCAGATGGTGAAGCTGGTGAGCCGGCTTATGCGATATCTGAAACAGTAATTGAGAGTAAGTATTGTCCTTCTCAATTTGATACGGAATAGGGTAATGCTGGAGTTGTGTAAACATTATGGTTCTTAAACAATCTTCACATTAATTTTTGCAGATCTTCCACCCAGCCTAAATTTTTTGTCTATAACTGGTGATTACTCAGAAGGTGAAATGTTGACTGCATCATATGGATACATAGGGGGTCATGAAGGGAAGAGTATCTATAATTGGTATCTTCATGAGGTAAATGCTATTTTTATTAATATTGCCCAGTGTATAATAATTTAATATTTCAAATGTCTCTACACAACTATTAAAGGGTAGAAAGACGGAATATTTTTATTAAGGAAAACTGCATAGCATAAATGACAAAATATAACAAAATAAGGGGAAGAAAGATGTAAAACCTTTGCAGTAAAAGGGACATCATTAGCCAATATGAAGTAATTACAGCTTGATAGATGAGCCTAACCCAAAGAAAATCTTAATGCATTGACTCATTTGATTGTATTTTTACAGTTTTGGATTTTCCATTTTTTTTTTTTTCGGTTACGACTTCTCAATTCTAGAATTTTCTGCAGGTTGAGAATGACCCTGGTGCTCTAATACCTGATGTCTCAGGTCTTCTTCAATATCGTATCACAAAAAATGCCATTGGTAAATTCGTATCTTTTACTTGTAACCCAGTACGCAGTGATGGAATCATAGGTGAGCCAAGAACTGTCATGGGACAAGGACGTGTACGGCCAGGTAGTTACATTTATAACTAGTTGGCGATTGTATTCTAAGAAAGCATTCTGATACTTTCCATGAAATATGCTGTTTTGTGGCCTATAGAAATGACTCTAATTTTGCATTTTGTTCTTGGGGACTCAAGGTTTAAGTGGGTATACTGATTTTTCACTTCATTTATCTACAAAATCCTTTAGAGTATGGAGACATGCCTTGGACAATTGATTGAGAGGACTGCAGAAGAAAGGAAAAATACTTGTGGTTCTGACATAATAACAGCGGCCAAATAGTTCATATATTACCTTGAAAATATTGAAAATGGGTGGATGATAGGTAATGTCAATTTTTAGAAGAAGAGTAACGGCTAATTACCAATTTATTGCTGTGGATTAGTGCTTATGGTGAATGTACTAAGAAGTTTTAGGAGTTCCAATTCGGTCTTCGAAAGGATTGTTTCATTTTTTCCTATTATCCTCTCACAAAAATAAAGTAGCTAGAAACTGAACTTCTCAAGAAGTCGAGTTATTGAGAGTTTTAAGTAGGACCGGCTTCAGATTTTACATATTGAACTTCTCAACATTTTGAATTATGGAGTTAGTTTAGAATCTTTAAATGCTGTATTAGACTCATTTCAATTACCTTGGGCAAAAGTTTTCAAGATATAACCAATTGATTGATTAACCCCTTGAATTCTGGCAACTGAAATCCAAATTATTGATATTTATTGTTCACATGGACTCTGACAGTGTGTAATGCTTTAATTGTTTAAATTCATCCTTGATGACAATTGATTTATATGTCTTATATTTTATGTTTAGCAGGTGCTGAATGCCTAGATTCATCCCCCCCTCCCCCCCCTTCCTTTTTTTCCCCAACTGTTCTGTAGAAACTGTACGGGGCTGTTACCAGTACAAATTCTATATGTGGAAATTGAGTTTTCTTACAAGTTTTTTGCTTACTACAATTTAGGAAGCCCGAGATTGCTTACTCTACAAATTATTGGAACTGCTGTCGAAGGCACTACTCTCGATGTAGAAAAAAAATATTGGGGAGGTGAAGAAGGAGAATCCATTTACCGCTGGTTCCGGGTATTTAATGTGACTTAAAGTATCATTAATCTGTTAATTTCTTTCATGTGGTTGTAAACTGAATACAAATGAAATCTTCCACATGCCTGTTCACGTACTGTGAGATATAGCTAGCAATTTTGATGGAATACTTTCTTTTCAATATTTTACAATGAATTAACATCGTCTTATGACAAATTTGTGAAAATGTTATCTATATTTCATTGCAGACTAGTTCAGATGGAACCCACATTGAAATTATTGGTGCCACTGCTTCGTCATACATGCTTTCTGTAGCTGATATTGGCTACTTCATATCAGTGTCCTGTGAACCTGTTCGAAGTGATTGGGCTCGCGGCCCTATTGTCCTTTCTGAACAAGTTGGACCAATTATGCCAGGTATTATGCATGGCCGCATTTTCACTTTCCATAATGTTCTCCTTCTGAATATGAGCATAATACTGTTCTGTCTTTCTCGTTGGAAAATGAACTGGCGAGCAAATCTCTTTACATTCAAGTCTTGTGGACATGGAGTCAAGCCAATAATTTTTGATATCATTCCAAAAGAATCATTATTTTTCCTGGAAGTAATTTTAAATTTAGCTGCAATCTTTTACTGCAGGACTACCAACATGTCATTCACTTGAATTTCTTGGTTCCTTGGTTGAAGGAACACGTTTAAGCTTCATTGCTTCTTATAGTGGAGGGTGCGTCTTTGATGAAAGCCTCAGTTTAAACTACATTATAGCTTCTTTCTGGACTTGGTTTATCATTGTATTAAGGGTAATACTTTTAATTCTTCAGGACGCAGGGAGATTGCTTGTACGAGTGGTTGAGCGTGAAGGGCAATGGTCAGAAGGATAAACTTACTGTTGACGGTTAACTTGAAGTTTTCATTTCTCACCTTTTCAGCTTAGATCCATGCCATCTATGAAATATTGGTTATCTAAATGTCATGTTCATATTCTTGCTGAATATATTGTACATGTTCACTTGTTTTATTTGCTAACATTTTAATCGGTTCGCCTCCATCCCCTCCGCCAACATGAAAATTTTGGAAATTACCCTCTCCTTATCAGACTCTTTCCCCTATTCCAAGTCTTATTTTATCTTATTTTATTTTATGTACCAGTCTATTGAGCACTTTGAATTTGCATCTAAAAATTGCACTTAATATTTCAGAATTGCCTAGAATTGAGATGCTAGCTCTTACGGGCAAGGCTGTTGAGGGAGAAGTATTGACTGCTGTTGAAGTTATTCCAGAGAGTGAAAGTCAACAGCATGTTTGGGGAAAGTACAAGAAAGAAGTCAAATACCAGTGGTACTGCTCTGCACTGAGCTGCTTAATATTTATTTGAATCAAATGCTGTCTCACCATGTAGGATTTAACTTTTTTTTTTTATACTTTTTTCACTTGCTATGATAGTCACAATTTTCTGTTCAGTCTCGTATATAATCAATAGTAAAATTTATACTAGATTCATTTAGAGCTATTAAATTCAGTCCTGTATATAATCCATATGATAACATGAATATTGCAGGTTTTACTCATGTGAACCTGGAAACAACCAATCCTTTGAGCCATTCCTGTCACAATATTCTTGCTCCTATAAGGTGCGATTTGAGGACATTGGCCGCTATCTGAAGTGTGAATGCATTGTCACTGATGTGTTTGGAAGATTGAGTGAACCGGCATGTGCAGAAACTACTGTGATTTTACCAGGTGTTCATTCTCTGAATGCATAATATTTTGTTTATAATTGATCACTCCTTGTAATCAATTTGATATAGGATTGTAGACCTTCATTAAACTATTTCTGGAATTACACATTATGAAAGTGTATTTAAGGCTGCTAGCCTTCACATGTATTGTTATAGCTGAAGTCTTTGTAAATTGTCTGTTCATATCAGGACTACCTAGAATGGGTAAGCTGGAAATTGAAGGCCGAGGTTTCCACACCAATTTATATGCCGTCCGTGGCATTTATAGTGGTGGAAAGGAGGGCAAAAGTAGAATCCAGTGGCTTAGATCAATGGTTGGAAGCCCTGATCTCATCTCCATTCCTGGTACAGTGTATTTCTGGCTGATTCTGCCATTGTTATCCAAATGTGCATTAGAAATAAGAAGGATGTGCTATGTTGTTGCTATGTTGTTGCAGGGGAGACAGGAAGAATGTACGAGGCTAATGTTGATGATGTAGGCTACAGATTGGTTGCACTTTATACGCCAGTAAGAGAGGATGGAGTTGAGGGGCAACCAGTTTCTGTATCTACAGAGCTAATTGCAGTTGGTAATTTTAGAATCACTATTTTATTTTTCTGTTCTGCTTCCTTATTTTTCAGACTGGACTTGTTCTCTATGTAAATTGAGAAAAAATTTGTTTTTAAAGACTTCATTTTGTCACTAATCTGGAGTTCTGTGAGATATGTGACAAATGATAATGTGGTATGTATCTGATCAGTAAAGTTGTATTTATCTTATTTGAATGCTTATATAACTTGCAGAGCCTGATGTTCTTAAAGAAGTGAAGCAGAAGCTTGATCTTGGATCTGTGAAATTTGAGGTATTATCTCTTCTCAATAGTTTGTTTCATTCTGTTTCCATGTTCCCATTATTCACATTACTGAAACACCGGTAGTATTTTTCCATATATTGCTGTTTACAAAGTTTACAAGAGTATGAGACGTCCTTCAGGTTTATCTTAGTTTGGTGCTTAAAAAATGTTTTAACCTTTCGACAAACTAATACTTGCAATGTTTTTGAAATAGACACTGTGCGACAAGGATCGATCTTCTAGAAAGGTACTTCGTTTCTCTATTTCCTGATTTACTACACAGCTTTGGTATCATCAAGAAATGCAGAAAACAATGGATTTCTCAGTACCGTACCCTTTTCAACATTGCAGATTCCTGGAGTTGGACCTCTGGAGAGAAGAATTCTTGAAGTCAATAGAAAGAGGATCAAAGTTGTGAAGCCGGGGTCTAAAACTTCATTCCCAACAACAGAAATTCGTGGAACTTACGCTCCTCCTTTTCATGTATGCCTTATTCTTCAACCCAAATCTGCCCTAATTTTGTAGGTCAAATTGTTTGACTACGAAAATTACCTATTTTTCTGAGTAATTTTGCACATCACTAACTCTAATTGACAGTATAACAATATAAACGTTGCCTTTAAAGTATGCACACGGTAGCATGTCAGGGGGTGGCTTATAAGCAAATACTTTTTATCATGCTTATAAGCATGAAGCAAACCACCCCAAACATGATTGTTCATAGACAAACCGATCCTTGGGTTTATTGGCCTCTGTTTTACTTAATCAAGTTTTCAGGTGAAGTTGGTCTTAAGAGTTTCATGCTTTCTCACTTTCACGAATTGATTCAAAATATCTTCTATCTTTACGGATATCGACACATAACTACCTCCTGATGTGGAAATTGCTTATTTGGAAGAGTGGCAAATGTCAAAACTTCATGCTGTTATTTTCTCTTTGGTGACTTTAAATTAGACACGCTGGATATTATTGCTCACTGTGAAACATGTTTACATACTGTCATTGCTCACTGTTAAACGTGTTTAAACATTATTTAAGCAGTGATGGTCCAACCATCTGTGGAATCGGGATATCATAACATTGATGAAAATAAATAAATTAATGAAAGTAGATTATGCACGTAATTCTGAAACTGTGCATTATGTTGAGGCACATATAGCTTGCGCTGGTTCCACGAATTTCATATCTTACATGCACTTTCTTGTGCAGGTGGAGCTTTTCAGAAACGACCAACATCGTCTTAAAATTGTTGTAGACGGTGAAAACGAAGTGGACTTAATGGTGCAGACGAGGCACCTGCGTGATGTCATTGTCCTAGTTATCCGAGGCCTTGCACAACGATTCAACAGTACATCACTTAATACTCTCCTCAAAATAGATACATAACCTCGTGCAAAGCAAGTGTAAAATCGTCCATAGTCGTTGAGTGTTTCAAGGTTTTGCTTTGTGCCAGTTACCTTTCCGTTTCCCTTTTTATTTCTGGGGGAGGCAATTCTGTTTCCGCATGTTTAAAGTTTTTGAGTAGCTTGTAAGAAGTGATTTATCAACATGTTATATTATATTGATTGTAATTTATAGAAATCTGTCATGTCGTGAGATTCTTGTACTTGAACACAAAGTATAGTGTAATGTCTTGTGTTGTATGCATGGTGTATCTGTTCTGTATCTACTTTAGCTCAAGCCACTTATAACTTGCTGGGTTACTATGGAAACTATAAGTAATAAGATGAAGCCAGAAGAAATTACTACTGCAGATTGATGGAGTTTAACACAAAATATTTAGTTATTAACAGGTTTGTGAAGAATTAAATTTAGATGACTCCAATGTTCTTGAGACCAAGTACAACGCCAACCCCAATAATGTGACCCACACTCCCACATGCCAATGTATCTGCTATGGTGAAACCAGCAGGATCCCCTGTCTGAAGGCCCGAGTCCCTCACCTCAAGCTTTAGTCCTGCAGTGGCCTTCCTGTTTGCAGATGGAGCCAAACCAAACCGACCGGCGAACAGCATCAGGCTAGTTGAAGTCACCATTATCTGTTTAATAGAGCCAAAGACGAAATTAGAAACACGTGTAGCAGATGTACAAAGGTTTATAATGATTCACTCTCTTATCGAAGAAATTGTTTTTCTGCACACTGTGAATAGGATAAGGTTGGTCACTTGGTAGGTAAGGTTCTCTCCAAATGTGAAAATCTTTTAAAGTGAGCAAGATAAAACTTTTCACAGTGAGCAGGAGAACGTGAATGCTCTTATCGATTAAGAGTCAAGAAGATAACTCCATGACCCATAAAAATTTGCTTCCAATTGCTGTGAAAATCTTACCAAATTCGTTGGGGAGCCAGTGAAATCGCAGCGTGCGCCCAAAGCTCCCTGCCCTTTACGCTTCATTGGTTGAGCGGCTACCTGAAGAGGAACAATATCATATTTATGTCACTCACATACGGTGAGGAAAATCGAATAGCACTTGATCGACATTCTCATTTGAACAATCAGTGAACCGAACACGCACTACTAAGGTTGTAAACTAAGGGACACTAACCAAGCTTTTGACAGGAGAAGCTGATGCTGGTTTGAGTCTGAGACCATTGAATTGTGGGAGAGAAGTCATCACTGCACTAGCCATTTTTGCTTTGCTTAGAATTTGGTCGAAGAATAAATGTAATAACCCGTGATACTTTCATTATGATGCCATTTTGAAATATTATAAGTTTGCCACAGCCACATGAAGATTTTGTGGCTTCAACGCAGGATAGATTTAGATGCTTGCGGCTGATATGTCACTATATTATTGGATAAGCCCAAGGGGATAAGATTTGGATGTAAATTTTTTATCAATTGGTGGGTATGATGTTTTAAGCTGGCTGCTTATATTAGTTGTCAAAACAAATAAAATCCCAAGTCCCCTGTCCAAGACAAGTTGGTCGTGTCCGAAGTTAAATACTGACATTGTCATGCAGAAAAGATTGCAATCCTTTACTTTACTTTAATTTATTTTTTATATTCATTTTCGATTGCATTCACACAATAAAATATTTTATACATAAATTCAAAATTTTTCCTTACTTTTTAACTATACATTCTTTAAAAAATTACCATTCAAAACTATGTTTTTTTAAATTTTAAGGCCACCAATCAGTGGCCGGCTTGTGGAAGAGAGAAGGCTGCTGTCAATCACTCGTGGCCAAAACATAATTTAATCAATAATTCAACAACATTTTTGTTTTCAATCACTTATTTTAATGACACTTTAGAACTTGAATCTTTTTATTAGTGAAAAAGTAAGTTTGAAGTCTAGCCAAACGGCCCGAAGATGTTCGCTTAGAGGAGAGTCCACTACTATATTCCATGATCCAGCAGAATACAAAGAGTCTTTAATTGTTTTGAATTTTGATATTTTATATCTTTGAATCTCTATGGTCCATTCACTTTCTACTGAATTTGATTCTTAAACGTTCGGTTTTCTTATTCCTTTTGTCTTAGTTAACAAATATATTCAACGCTATTTCGATCATATAATGTACAACAGAAAAAAGATATGAGAAAAATAATAATTATCTGCGGGCAAAAGATAGACTTAAGGATACCTTGAAAATAAAAAAATTAAATTACCCAACCCAGTTATAATCCACAACCTCGCATATAGCTACCTAGCTCTAACGAACAAACTTGCAATGGAAAATGAAAGCAGTTAAGCTTAACATTCATTGCGATTAGCTCTCACATAATTCAAAACAAAACTAGTTTTGTAGAGGCTCATTGTTCATATTTCTCGTCAATAGGCACTACCTGAATACCTTCACGACATGCCAACTATGAAAATAGGAAACCTGCAATCTTTTTTTTCTCATTACTAATACCATATTTGGCCAAGCCATGATTATGGGCGTCTTACATTAGCCTATCATCGGTAGCTCACTCCATCGCCATGTATGACTTCACCAATTCGATATGTTGTACTTGCACCATGTTCTTCCCCAATTATTTTCAGAGCTGTCTCCTTGTTCACCACTAGAACCATCCCAATCCCCATATTAAAAGTCCGTCTCATTTCTGAATCTTCAATTCTTCCAGCCTAACAAATTTGATTCCAAAAAATAGTAGAATTAAGTGGTGCAAAGGTTGCATAAGAAAACAACTGATGAGAAATCCACTATATAACAAAAAATAAGTTGGAAAGTAATTAGGTAGCCACATAAATAATTCTTACCTCTTGAATCCATTTAAAAACAGGAGGAACCACCCACGAGTCCTTATATATGATAGCTCCAAGACCCTTTGGAAACACACGAGGTATGTTGTCTGTAAAACCACCACCTGTGATGTGAGCTATCCCTTTAACGCCACCTTTGCTAATAATGTCAAGAACCTGAATTCCTCGATCACGTTAGAAAATTAATGCATTCCCATGAAAAAAACAATGCAATATCATTAGGCACAACTACTTCAATTGGAGCTCGAGGCATGACCTGCTTGACATATATACAAGTAGGCGCCATTAAAGCTTCACCTAGGGTCACAGATGAGCCAGGAAGTTGGTCCTTCAATGAAAGACCACTTTGCTCGAGAACCCTGCAGCAAATGGCAGAATTTCAGTCCATAAAGATATAAAGCAGTACAAGTAATGGAATGGAGTTATATTAAGTATGCTGCAGCAACCCTCCATTCTAATACTTGATGTGAGTGGTTAAGATTTTCAAGGGCATTGGAGGCTGACACAGTAAAAAGTTTTCTTTCAGAGTTGAAGTAAAAACCTTCTGACAAGAGAGAACCCATTTGAATGAACTCCACTGGATGGCAAGCCAAGGACAACGTCCCCAACGGTTATGTTTTTCCCATCAATAACCGACTCCTTTTTCACTATTCCCACGGCAAAACCACTGAGGTCATACTCACCATCTGCGTAAAAATCTGGCATCTCAGCGGTCTGAAAGAAGAAGGTTCTTTATTATGAACACATTTACTTGGCATACATAGTAAAAGGAAAAAATGTCACAAGTACCTCTCCCCCTAAAAGGGTACAGTCAGATTGCTGGCAACCACTGACTATGCCTTTTATGACCTGCATCAGGGAATAACAAGTTGATGGAACTTAAAAAAAAAAGAAAAAAGAAAAAAGAAAAAATTCTATGAGTTTCCGAAGCCAAAGGAAATTGGTTTGCTGGTAGAATGGCAATACCTTCTCTGCAAGATCAACGTCCAGATGACTTGTAGCAAAGTAATCGAGGAAAAAAAGGGGCTTTGCTCCAGAGGTGACTATGTCATTTACGCTCATTGCAACCTGATCAAAATTGAAGATTAATCCTGGCAATATTGATAGAACAAAAATAGAAACCATCAATATTTACCAAATCGATTCCAATTGTCTCATGAATCCCAGTCTCAAATGCAAGCTTAAGTTTTGTTCCCACTCCATCTGTGCCGGCAACAAGATAGGAATCCCCTGTGGAACAATTGAAATGAAAAGAGGGTCTTGTACATGAAATTAAGATGGGAGAAGCTGTTAAAAAATCCAAACCAAGAGGTAGACAAAATATACAGAAGGAGGCAAACAACTATACAAAATGCATAAGCGGTTCGTGCAAAACTAAAACAAATTGTAGGGTTTGGTTCATAGTTTGAGATAGTGGAAATGTTGGATCATTTAATTAGTTCACGAGTCAGACCAACCACCTTCTTGTTTCACAACCCTCATAAACAGTTATATTCCAATGGGTTACTAATTTCCATCTTGAACACACACCAGGCATTGATACCTTCCAACATGCGTTTGATTCTAATTTAATCGTGTTTCAATTCAGGGGGAATGGCATGTTAGACGCTATTTAGACATGTATTCAACATGTGATAGATGATTTTTCAAGAGCATAAATATGACCATACTAGAAAACTGAAGCACACTTTTGGTGTGTGCTATAGAAAAGAACACCAAACATCTCTAAAATAATGAATAAAACTTCAATTCAAATGGTTTGTGTAATGATAATACCCTTTAAAAGTCAACTGAAATAGATAAGTATTCCTCCTCTTTCACCTTCAAATCGATTTATAGCATGACATTGTGTTATCAAATGCTTTTGTACACTCACAATTAACACAAATATTCAAGCCTTCAAGAGAAATAAAAATGGCATTTTTGAATAGATCTTCTAATTCTATTCCGGGTTATGTTCATGATAACTGCTCTTCAGAGAATACATCACATTGATAATTAATGTTCCAAATGTAGATTAATAAACGATATATCAGATCATTCATCTTGGACGAACCCCTTGAAGCTTTGAGGGCAAACTGATTATGCCTTTACTATCACTTGCCTGAGAATATTAGAATCTTGATTAAGACTTACTCCAGCTACAACTTTTTTAGTGTGAAGGGGATAGTCCAAAATGGAGCGATTCAGAAAACATTCCCAGATCTTGACATGTAAGCAGAGTGATAGCTTAAAAGATAGGTAACATATAACGTCCGTAACATATATATAAACCATAAAATATAATTAGAATTGTAAGTGAAAAGTAGATTATTATACCTAAGGGAAAGAGGCCACCAAAACCTCCGATTCCGGGGGCCATCTTGGCTATTCTTTTCACAAGTTCCGAACCGGCATCTATGTCAACACCAGCATCCTTGTATGTAAGGCCATCAGGCCTACTTCCTTCGGCAGTTTCCACCTCGTTTCTAGTACCGGAACCGGAAACCGATAACATAATTCTACTTTTCTTACTCCCAACTTTCGCTTCTTTAATAGAATTATTGGAGAACAATGGTAATAGCCTCGTGCCCAAATTACAAGCATTAAACTTTGCCAAGCCAAAAGGCGGATTAAATAAATTGGTAACACAGCGGGAAAGTTCTGTATTTGCTCCGCATAATGTATTCATGATCTTTTATAGTAATTGACAAAACCTTCAAAAAAGAAATTAAAAAAGAAAAGACAAAGTTTTGTAGGTAATTTAATAGCAATATAATTGTTTAGCTTAACTTAAAATAATATTGAAGATGTACCAGAATCGCAAGTAAAACGGTAACGGTGCAACAGGAGGCGGAGTAGCGGCGGAGGGAACTTGCACTCCTGGGTTTTGTTGAGAAGCGAAAATTCTGAAATGGGCTTTTGCGTTAAGGAAGAAGAGTAAATTTCAGTGAAAGTCATATGACTTATGAGTTTATTCCATTTTAGTCCCCAAACTTCCCAATTTATTTAAAATGCTCGGCTAATTTATAATCTTGTTCAATTTAACCATTTCACATCTCTCGATGACTAAAAACTAATGATCCATATCACATCTAGACAAAAAGTATAACCTTGAGCCTTGTTTGATGCTATATTTCTTTGTTTTAATTCTATAGATAAATCATTAATGAAGATATTGAACCATACAGGTTTTTGAACTTGACGAGCTAATTAATATTTTGTTATTACATCATACTTTTTGTTCGTGCAAAACTTGCAAGGGTTTTAAATTGTTGACAAATAATATAATTGATGAGTTGAGAGTATCATTTCAGGAGAAATAAATTCAATTCAAGTTTTTTAAGTCGACAAGCCATAATTTTATCCCTTGTTTGGTAGGGATTAAAAATCAGATTTTTAGTAAATTTTGATAAAAGTTAATTAAATGTGTGGTTGAAAAGTTGTGGATCCTATGAAATGAGTGAATAAAATCAATTGTTGATTTTAACTTAAACTAAAATTGAATTTGAATTTATACCAAGGTGGGCTTAATTTTACACATGATGAATGTGGACCTTTAATGTCAAACACGAGACAGAGAAACAGGGATGATAAATGTTCTGGACCCCAACTTGGCCCGAGACGGGCCCGACCTGCTACCATCCCTACAGAGAAATGTTGAAATTGAAATAAAATAATGAAATAAATGCTACTTCGAAACAAACTGAAGTTCAACAAGCTAATGTGGGACAAATTGTGAGTTGGGAGACCTCGTATGAAAAAAACTGAAAATGATCCCTAGAAGAACAGGGATCAATGTCGGAATTCTTTATCCACGAATTCAGTGAGAAGGAATCTCGAATCTTCACAATATTCCATTTGGACTCATATAAGATGTCTGCACATCCATAAACGATGCAGGAACATTAATTCAAAATCAAATATACTTCATTTTCTACTCGATGACCACATCTACAGTTCACGACGAAATTACATGCCTCAGAAGTGCCATTATACAGGAAAAACGAAATAAAATTTTGTCATCAGATAAAAAATGCATTCTATTCTCCACTTCCTGTCAACCAGAAAGGAGGAACATTCATGGAAAAATATAGTTAGTTTTGTTACAAGTCATAAGATCTGATTTACAACGGCAGCCTGGACTGAAGGGATAGGTTTTTATAGACTAGTTACTCAAAAGTTCAAAACAGCAGCCCGTGTTAACAATCAACGTTTTTTTGACTTGTATAAGCACTAACCAACTGATTGTGATTGTGCCATGCCTTGACACTTTTCTAAAGATGCTTTGATGTTCAAACAAGAGCAACAACACACAACTTTGAAACTCAATTTAAATTTCATGGAAAAATTAACAGCCTATTTAAATACTATAAGCAGAACATAGTAACTTCGCAAGGGGAATCACCAGAATATGGAAGCAGGAATTAGTGCTTTAGCTTAAATAGAGAATCACAAAACTCAACAAAAAGACAGGTGCTACACAGAATAATAAAATGAGGAATGTATCACCAAAAACAAAACCTGCAACAAATTGAACCCGGTTCATTTTACCTTCCAACAAATTTCAGTAAGTCAGATTAATCAAATAAAGGAACAATTTGCAAATCAAATTATTCTCACTAGCTCATGTATTACACAGTTCAGCTGAAGCATATTGTCCATGCTCAGTCCTTCATTTTCTTAAATCATTAACAGCATATGTGATAATTTTGCCCAAGGCTAATTAAAAACAAAACAAAAGGTAAGCGGTAAAACAATAGCAGAACTCATGGAACATCGTCTTGAATAGAAGCAAGCAGTTGAGATAGGGAAACAGGAACAATGCCACTGACAGCAAGTACAAACGAATTCACACCACCAAGATTGAAATAATCACTGTTAGGCAGTCAGTGCCTCAAGAAATATTGGCCAGATTAGATTTGCGGTAAACAGAAACAAGAATTCCATACAAAGAAACAATTCAGGTTACTTACAATGATCTGAGTGCCAATGATGGGTACTCACTGGCCTCTTCAGCCACATATTCCAGTCTATTTTTTCCATGCCCTTAGCCACCTCAAGCATCAGATGGATTGCCTTGAAGGTAAACCTTCATTGATCCTGACAAAAATTGTTTATTATCTGGCTGTCAGGGCCCAGAAAAGGGCTTGACTGGGGGCATTATGGATGCAAACTGCAACAAGGTTGCACCTTTCTATTTGAACAGAGTTTACTTGATATTTAGCAAGAGACCATTAACTGGCTCTAATAATCTGATTGGAATTCAAAAGGGAAAGACAAAACTAAAGATTTTGAAGTTCTCTCGTGATTTAAAGAAGTTTCGTTTAGTCTAACCGATTGTTCAGTCCTCAAGACAAATGTCAAATACACTAGTAATTTTGCGCTGTTAAACAGGCTCCAAAAATTATTTGCCCCGCATCATAAATGAACATTCGTGAAAGTCATTTGTCGAGGGTTGAGTATATACATCTATGTAAAGA